TTCTCTGCTCTCTTTGGCTGCTTACTGGCAGAAAGTCGGCCAGTAAGAGTAGAGCGAGTCCCGCGCAGCGAGTTGGCTGCCATCGCCGACGACGCATCATCTCACTAACAGTGCCCGCCAATGCCGCCACCGCCGCCGCATCGTCTCTGAGCATCCCGTTCTCTCTCTCTCTCTCTTTCTCTCTGATCGTACAGTAGTGCTGCTGCCTCTTCTCTTCCTGTACCAGCAGAATCAGAATCAAGAGCACTACCGCCGCCACCGCCACCACAGCAGNCTTTCTCTCTGATCGTACAGTAGTGCTGCTGCCTCTTCTCTTCCTGTAACAGCAGAATCAGAATCAAGAGCACTACCGCCGCCACCGCCACCACAGCAGCAGCAGAACTCGCCGATGCTAAATAGGCCACCAAGCTGTTGGCTGTGAGTGAGTGTGTCGGCTGCCTGCTCGGATTCTGCAGCTGCTGCTGCTGTTGGCCCTAGCATCGCCGCCGTTGCCGCTGCCGCCGCTGCAGCTTCATTGTGAACTGCAGTGAACTCTCTCTTATTCTCTCACTCTCTTTCACTGTCGATCTATTCGCCCTCTCCAGTGCCCTGGCGCCCTCGCCTTCGCCCCAGCCGCAGCAGCAGCTGCAGAATATTCTCTCAGTGTCTCTTGTATCCGTCTGCGCCAGGGAAATCGGAGAGATCTGGTGGTGGTGAGAGACGGAGTGTTCGGTGTAGCAGCAGCCACTTGCCCGTCGGCAAGTGACACTCTTGTACTCTCTCTCTCTCTCTCTCTTGCTCACCAGGCAACCTTTCTGAATGTGCGCTCTCTTTCTCTCTCTCTCTNCCAGGCAACCTTCCTGAATGTGCGCTCTCTTTCTCTCTCTCTCTCACTCAGTCTCAATCACATCAATTCTCAATCTCCTTCTCACTCCTTCCCCTGCTGCCTCTTTCAATTCCTCGAGCATCAGCATCAGCAGCACACTTTGCTGTGGGGCAATCGGCGTCGTTGTCGTCGCCGTCTTTGCCGCTCAGCAGGCATCAGCTCATCTCGTCTGCAGCAACATCTCCACTGCTACTGCCAGGCAGCATCGCCAGTAGATCTCCTCGGGCAGCACCAGCATCAGCAGCGTCTCATCGGTAACCAACGCCAACGGTGTCTCTTTCTCCGTTCAGTCTCCTGTTCTGTCGTTGTGCGTAAGTGTGCTTACCAATTTAGTTCCGGAATGTGAAGTGAACGAGTGTTCAGTGTGCCCAGTGGTCGTTCAAGTGGCACAGTATTCCGGAGTGCTAGTTCTCTTTCTGTGGGGTCCATAGACCACAAAGTCATAGTTGCTCTTTGGACCTTCCTTCTTTTTTCCATTTCTGCTCCACGTTCTACTTTAGCAGAACTACAAAACTAGAACAGAAAACTAAAGTGGTTTCCGACGACCGTCGTCGTCGTCGTCGATCGTAGACGTCGAGCAGGAGTTAATCTTGCTAGTGTGTCGGCAATTATACTATTGTTATCCTTCAAAGGCCTCATCTCACTCGCTCACTTGCTCACTTCATCAGCTGCAATTTTGTAATACTTCAGTGCCCAAGTCTTTTTCTATCAGCAATAATTCCTTCTGCTCTTTCACTGGTGATCAGTGAAACTCAGTTGTTATTGTTGTCTCTCTCTCTTTCTCTCTCTTTCTGCTGAAGCCCTGATCTGAATCCGATTGCTCATTTTCTCCTACTCTGTGTGATCTGCTGTACATGTCTCTCACCTCTTCCACATGCTTCCTTCATTCGAACACTTCATCAACATCAACATCAACAGCAGCACCTTTCCCACTTTTCCATCACAATTTCGACAACCACCCAGTGCCCAGTACACCGCAACGGCCCTCACCAGAAGAGGCCTCAACCGCCTAAAAGTAGTCAAATTTAGGCGTCCACTACCTTTCGCAAACGCCCTCACTTCCACGCACACTTCACTACGACCGTCACCAGCAATATCAGCACTACCACCACCTCCACCACCAGCAAAAACTTAGAGCTCAGCATTCCAACGCCCACCATCCTAATGGGTAACAAGTTATCGTAAGTGAAATCTGTCTGGATCCATCTTTGACATTTCATTTAACTTTACCAAAAATTTACCTTCTTTTTTGGGCAGATGTGCAAACTGCAACGGCAATCCGGCAAAGCCGTCCAACACACAGACTGCACCTGGCTCAGGCGGGGGCGGAGGAGGCGGCGGTGGTGGGAGGGGCGGCAACGACCCAAATCGCCAGTACGCCCATCACTACCACAGTCACAGCGCCGGGGGTGGTGGTGGCGGGGGAATGGTGGCCGCCGGGAACATGTCGCACATGCTCTCCAACGCCGCCGCCGGTGGTGGCAAACAGGTGCTGCGCTTGTGGGCGGAGGTCTTCCACGTGNCGGGGGAATGGTGGCCGCCGGGAACATGTCGCACATGCTCTCCAACGCCGCCACCGGTGGTGGCAAACAGGTGCTGCGCTTGTGGGCGGAGGTCTTCCACGTGTCGGCCTCCTCGGGGGCAGTCCGGTGGACGCAGGTGAGCGACGACCTGGTGCCCGTCTCGGTGGCCTACTCAAACGGCAAGTTCCACGTGACGGCGGTCAATGCTCGAGTGGAGAAGGTGCTCGACGCCTGGCTCACCTCTGCGCGCCTTGGCCAGGCCTCCAACTGCTTCGTCTACTGGAAGGACAGCGTCTCCGGGGACACCTGGGGCCTCAACTTCACCTCAGCCGCTGATGCACGAGCTTTCCGAGAGTCCATTCACAATCCACCGACAGTGGCGGCACCGACGACGACCACGGGAGGAGGTGGTGGTGGTGGCCACTTTCCTCGTCGAGCCGAGTCCTCGTACAGTCTGCGAGATCAGGGCAATGTCAACCAGACGACGACGACCACCACCGCCAGCGGTCGTGAGCCTAGCAAGGCGGGTTCAGGCGCCCACCTCACTCAAAAGTACTACTCCAACCGAACTGCCATATCCACGCCGAACAGTCCCTCAAAACGGCGCATGCAACAGCAGCATCAACACCACCAGCAGATGCAGCAGCTGCACCAGCACCAGCAGGACCACCACCAGCACGCGGCCCACGCTGCCCACGCCCACGCCCAGCACCAGTTCAATCAGCAGCAGGCGGCGGCGTATGCGGCGCAGGCCAGCGAAAAGTCGCAGTGCACCTGTGACTGTCTGACGGCGGAGGCGCTGCACAAGCAGCGAAACGGTCGCATTCGCTACTCGAACTTCACCCGCCAGGACTCGGGCGGCACGACGCAGTCCAGTCGGTCTGATGGCAGTCTGGTGCGACGACAGGCCGACCGCCAGCAAGCGTACTACCGCCAGAACACCCGCTCCATGGACGAGCACAGTCGGACGCGNATGCGGCGCAGGCCAGCGAAAAGTCGCAGTGCACCTGTGACTGTCTGACGGCGGAGGCGCTGCACAAGCAGCGAAACGGTCGCATTCGCTACTCGAACTTCACCCGCCAGGACTCGGGCGGCACGACGCAGTCCAGTCGGTCTGATGGCAGTCTGGTGCGACGACAGGCCGACCGCCAGCAAGCGTACTACCGCCAGAACACCCGCTCCATGGACGAGCACAGTCGGACGCGCATTTGCGCGGCGCCGGGCGCCAGTCTGGTGGCGAAGGCGCTGGCCCCGGCCAATCGGCGCATTCAGGCGATTCAGGCGCTCTCGCATGGCGCCCACTCGAGGTCGATGGCCGCAAATGAGGGCTATCAGATGCAGCAACTCCAGCAGAATGGACATCTCGGAGGACAGCAGCAGCAGCACTATCACCACCATCCGCAACAGCAACAATTGCAACAGCAGCAACAGATGCAGCAAAAAATGTACCNTCCGGCCAACAGGCGCATTCAGGCAATTCAGGCGCTCTCGCATGGTGCCCACTCGAGGTCGATGGTCGCTAATGAGGGTGGCGGTGGCTATCAAATGCAGCAACTCCATCAGAATGGACATCTCGGAGGACAGCAGCAGCAGCACTATCACCACCATCCGCAACAGCAACAATTGCAACAGCAGCAACAGATGCAGCAAAAAATGTACCGGTCGACGGCGGTGAACACCTCCGAGCAGATGACGATGGAGCCTCGGTCACAGTCGGCGAATGAGCCTCGCATGAGCAGCCAGGGCGGTCAGGGCAATCAGGGACCGGGCGTCTCATCGCAGAGCGCCTCCCATCTGGTCACCACTGGCACGGCCACTGATGATCTGCAGCTGCAGCAGCAAGGCGACCATGGTGCTCAGCCGGGCACTAGCACCGGCACCATCAAACCTCGCTCCCAGCGACCCAAATCGCTGATGGCCATTGACAGTNACATCTGGTCACCACTGGTACGGCCACTGATGATCTGCAGCTGCAGCAGCAAGGCGACCATGGTGCTCAGCCGGGCACTAGCACCGGGGCCATCAAACCTCGCTCCCAGCGACCCAAATCGCTGATGGCCATTGACAGTGATGGCACAAAAAGTCGCGACCGCTCGCACCGCTCCCTGGAAGGTCGGCGGCGGTCGCTGGAGCGAATGCAGTGCGTCGATCTGACTGACGCCTCGCCGCCGACGCCCGCTCGAGCCGGTGGAGGTGGTCGAGACCAGACGCTGTCCAGCGACGGAAACGCCTCCTCCAGTCTGAACAATGACACCGCCAGCAGCAAAATGGCCGCACTGGACAAGTACGAAAGTGAACTTCGCCGACGACTGCTCTCCCAGGGCGGCAGCAGTATCATGTCAGACTCGGGCATTGGCAATGCTCTCTCCGGCGGCAGTTTTGGCGCTTCCTCTTACTATTATGGCGGAGGTGGTGGTGGCAGAGGTGGTGACGGAAGCGGCGGTGTGACGGTGGACGAGGCGAATCGTGAGGAGTTCGAGTACCTGCTCAAGGAGTCCATGGACAGCGTGGCCAATCTGATGAAGGACGTGCAGAATGAGCTTCACATGATTCGCGCCGAGGAGCGGCGCTTTCTCTCGCAGTCCATGCAGAGCCTCCATCGGCTCAACTCGGCCAACTCCTCATTTCGAAGCAGTGGCTCAGCGGGTGATCACCACCATCGAGCCAGCGACCTGGGCCACCACCACCGATCGGCACACATGTGGGACACACTTTCCATCGACGGCCAGCTTCCCTTTCTGCCTTCCTTCTCCACCTCGCTCTCCGCCTACACCAATGGCCACTACCAGAGCTGGGAGAGGGGCCTAGGGGGCGCCGGGGCGGGCTACCTCACTTCATCGGAGTTCTCCGACGATGATCGGGCCTCGCTGACGACGGCCATCTCCGACGATGAGGACCACCAGTTGGCACTGAAGTCATCCTTTAGAGCGGCAGCGGCGGCGGCCGCCGTTGCCGCCGCCAATCGCAGCACCGACTCGGCAAGCAACGGCGGCGTCAACTTTGAGTGCTTCGGCTCGGTGCGCAAGTCAGGTTTTCTGGCTGTCAAGAAGTGGCTCATTCGGAAGACGCACTCGCTGGCGCTGGCCCGAAAGCGCGGCTGGAAGAACTACTGGGTCTGTCTGAAGGGAACGACGCTGCTCTTCTATCCCATTGATGGAGTCGGTGGTGGTGGTGGTGTGGGCAGTGGCTCTCAATCCAGCGGCATGAATCACGTGGACAACTCGAACTCCAGCTCGGGAGGTGATGCAGGTGGTGGAGGCAATCAGCAGCAATCGGGAAAGTCCTCCCAGCAGTCCTCTGACCTGACGCCAAAGCACCTCATCTTCGTGGAGGCCTGTCTGGTGCAACCCGTTCCGGAGCACCCTCGTCGCGACAACGTCTTCTGCCTGTCGACCTCCTTCGGCGACGCGTACCTCTTCGACGCCACCTCACTGCCTGACCGCGACCAGTGGATCTCTGTGCTGCACACTGCCTGTGCGGCGCAGATTGCCCGCAACTCGGGTCGCTGTGCCATCACCCACTACATCGTCGAGGAGTACCAGCGGCTGGAGCGTCTGGTGGAGCTGGACATGGAGAGTCGCCAGGAGGCTGACTTGCTGCTCAGCTGTGCCACCGAGGAGAAGCAGAAGCAGCAGCTGGTCAGTCATGTGCTGCTGCTCGATGAGAAGATTGAGAAGAACCGCCTGGAGATCTTCCGCCTCAAGTCGTACATGGCCGCGTAAGTGATCAGCTGTTTTTGTTGTTGTTGTTGTTGTCTGACTTCTTTGTTTGGGCTAACCAACTGATCCTTTTGTTTTGCACAGAATCACCCGTGAAGAGGGACCCAATCCAAAGACGCTGCTCTCGCAGGTCTCCAGACGAACCAAGTCTCAGCTCAATCGAATTGGCGTCTTTTCCGTCTCTTCAATTCATGGTTTGCATTGTTTAGATCAGTAGTTTTTTCAGTTAAATCTGACACCTTTTCTCCTTCAACAGCCTTCAACTGTGCTAAGAACCCGCAGCCGCTGGAAAAGCTTCACAAGCGGGACTCCTTCAGCGCAGACTACATTCGCGAGCTGTACTCGCCCAGTCAGGCTGAGGTGCCCGAGTTTAACTCCAACACCAAGGTGACCGTCACTGTGACGCTGATGACGGGTGAAAGTCGCCAGGTGGAGGTGCCCTCCAACTGGACCAGTGAACAGCTCATCAGTGACCTCTTTGGCAGTGGACCCGAGGGACGAGAGTACTACCTGCGATGTTCGGAAACAGGCACCGTTCTCTACCGAAATGATCTTCTCAAGACATACGCTGCCCACACGCTTGTCGTCACGCCCAAGGTAAGTGAATGATTTCTTCGATGAATGGATTTTTACATCTGTTCTTCAATTCAACCAGATTCTCTTTACGATTGAGCTAATTCGAGACTCCAATGAGACGCTCTTTGGCTTCTCCGCTGAGTCGGAAATGAGCAGCAGCAGTGATCTTCGTGTCTTTGTGATGCGTGTTGAGCCGTAAGTTTGCTGTTGGTTTCATTTGTGGTTTCATTTCATTTCGTTTTCCTCCTCTTCGCTTTTCTTCAGTAACTCAATTGCATCACTGCACGGCCTCTGTCGTCACGATGAGATCATGGTCATCAACGGCGCCCTCGTTCAGGAGCTGGACATGATGTTCGTCGAGTCGGTGCTGCAGGAGGAGCTGACGCTCTGTCTGATGATCAGGTAAGAAGAATTGAGATATTGTTTTAACTTGGTTGAAAATTGTACACCTTTTTCTTTAGATCATCCCGCTCTGAGATGCCCATCATTGGCCAGCAGCCCTCACTGAGTCGATCCGGGTCCGCTCACCAGTTAGGTGGTGGCAGCTTTGAGATGNTACCTTTTTCTTTAGATCATCCCGCTCTGAGATGCCCATCATTGGCCAGCAGCCCTCACTGAGCCGATCCGGGTCCGCTCACCAGTTAGGTGGTGGCAGCTTTGAGATGAACGATCAGCAGAAGACCGCCTCGCCAGTGACCGACGAGTTCATCGAGTCGCTCGTCTGTCCACCGCCGCCCAGCTCCGACTTTAGTCAGCTCATACTGAGCGACACTCAGCTCTCCAAGTTCATCGTCCCCAAGGTGGACAACTTTCTGCCAGGCGATGAAGGAGGAGGAGGAGGTGCGGATAACTTTGGCATCACCGGCGCCGGCGCTAGTCTGCTCTTTCAGAACAGCCTCGACGCTGAGGTTGATGTTGGCGGTCTGGGAATGGACACCACTGCAGTCACCGGTCTGGACAATCAGTACGGGTCGCTCTTGGCGGCGGTCAGCGATGGTCTGGCTGGTGT